TAGTCAGTATGAGAATCATACAGAAGAGGCATAGTTTAGAAGATTAATTATGTTAAATTATCTTTTTCAGTTGATAGTTTACGGTGCTTATTACTGCGGTTAGGCAGCATGTGGTTATATGCAATGTGACTGACCACTTTCCCCAGGCTAGTTCATATAGAAAAGAATTACATGTTAAGAATTTTCACTGCTCTTGGCTTCAATATTCAACTAAGTTTTCATAAGCTCAAAACCCTAAGGTAAGTTTTCTGCTCCCAGTTCAGTCAGTAGTATGATTAATTGGGTTTTATTTCTACCATGGCAATGTACTTGTTGTCATTGGAGTATTGACCAATATGCCCTTGTCGAGTTCAAGTAAACATATGTTAACTATTTTGTAGTATACTATTGGGGATATCCATTGTTCAGAGAATTTTATTTCGTATGAGAAAGACGGAAACGAGGTCAGCAGGACAAGCTACTAAGCCAACTGTGGAGACAACCGCATAACTCACTTCTTTCAAAAGTTTATGCTGATAGTGTTGTCTAGAATGACAATGAAAGCTTCACTATTATATCATTCAAGTCAGAGAACACAATATCATCAAAGTTATTCTTCCCATAAGCTTCAAATATATTTCTATCATTATAAATAACTTCCAGACTAGTCATTTTTTGTTCTAGATTACTGTTTATCTTAAAAGTAGTTAACTCACTACAATCTAAAACTTGCTAACCTATTGCTGTTAACTCCAACAGTAATGCAAACTGTATATGGTACAACCTGCAAAAGTGTCATCTTGGTTTCCTAGATCATAATAACTGAGAAACAAAAAGTAAAATGACATCTTGAACTGTTGTATTTTCTCTGAAGAAGAGAACTAAACTTCAATGAACTTCAACCAATTAACATCTATCAAAGTGGTTGACTACTAGGTAAATTTAAGTAGTTTATATTTTTCTACGTATTTTAATTTTTAACATCAGATCAAATTTTCCATTCCATTAGTTAAAGGCTGAGCTTCTGCGTTAACTCACTGTCATCTAACGAACTTGATCTAAATTAACATTGAGATTAGTCATTTCGTCTTCTCCCTCTTATTTAATTCAAGATCTAATTCATGTGGCCACCAAGAGTATTCGAAATAGAGTCTGGAGCTGATAAGTTAAGTGTACTATCTGAGGATATTTTGGCATATTTATAAGGATAGTTCTGAAAATAAGTAATGAGTTCACTTGTAGCTCATTTTTGTTACTGGACAAGGTTAAAAAGGCTTTTAAAAGTGTATAAGTTTTCACGGAATACTCTTACAAAGTCAATGAGAGTAGCACTGGAAATTTAAAGTTTTCAGCCGTCAAAGGATAACACTATGCAGAGCAGTTCGAAGGTAAAACTGAAGAGGATACGGTATATACAGTACATTACAACCCTTAAAGTGTTTTTTTGGTTTTGCAGTCCATTCCACTATACACCACAGTGTATATTTTTGCATTATTTGGAAGCTGAGACTTTTGTTTTGCTGCAAGATGGGAGATTTTGAATAAAATTAATGTATGATCTCTGGGGATATTTTTAGGGAATGCGACATCAGTCGGCATTTCACTTACAGTCTGCATACTTCCTAGGAATTTCCCCAATATTGTGCATGTTGCCGGGGATTTTCCATCTATTTATGCGTGATTCACCAGAAAGTACCCGAAATTAGTTGGAATAAACCATAATTTTCGTTAAATGGGGTCCAGTTCCCATGAATTCCTACTTATTACTATCTTATATAAACATTCACTCCGCAGATACCTAATGATACTTACCTCAAACGAACATTTTTAAGTTACATATACAGATTATAATGGCACATTTATTAATAAATCATAGATACAGTGCTTTTTGTTCAAGGTCTGTACAATAACGTTGACAGTTTGAACTGCATTGAAGCACATCTGAGCATTTCAAAGGCCAATACACAAGTGTCTAATATTGAAATAAAAGGAAGGTAAGATCAGTTCAGTTGCTTGCTTCAACTTAATTCAATATTCGGTATAACATAACGGAGCACTGTAATTTTTTCTCTACTTACTTCTAAAGAAATGGAATGCTGAAAATGGGGCGAAATGAGTAAACAAGATCATCGGTTGTTATCAATACTGATGAAGTTGGTGTTAAAAGTAATAATAATATTATTCTAGTTTGAGGTTAATGGGAATTTTATTTCTAGGGTTGTATTCATCACCGACTGACATCAGCTGTGGAACTATTAAAAACTTGAGAGTACTCGATGACCGTTTCGTCCTAGCATGGGACTCCTCAGCAGTACGCACCGATAATCCCGCTAGGATCTTCAAGCATTAACTATCCAATTACTGAGTCAGAGTTCAATAGTCCATCAAGGTCTTCAGTTGGCATTCGCTTCACTTCCGACTGGTTGGACCCACGAGTCACGGCTTCTCATTAGAACTTCGGGATATCTATCTGAAAGCATGTCATTAGTGAGCACTACGCAGGTATGTAGTCTGAGGTTTATGAGGATTCTATTTTTAAGGTTTTATTCACCAACGACTGAAATCAGTAGCAGTAATATTAATAATCAAGTTACTACTAATCATACTAACAATTACGTTAGTAAGAATGATAACGACCATCCTTTATGTGAATAGTGCTTTCTAAATAAATAAAGTACTTACACTAATGCCTGTTGACTTCTTCCTTTCAATGCATCTCCACATTCTGTAACGTAGGTGGATTAAGTACTCGTGAGAAACTATGTCTAACTCGAGACCTAATTCTTTCTCAGGCAAGAATGCACTTATGAACCGTCATCTGATTATCGGTAATGGAAAGTGGTGATAAATTTTCAAAATTACATCGGATTATCCTGTAAAGTGAATATTTCAACAAGGGTGATGTCGAATGATTTCCCGGTGAAGTGTACTGAAATGCAATTTCTGGTTCTAAGACTTCTCCAACATACACCTAACTGACTGCTTGTGGTCATTCATAAACTTTCGTCTGTAAGTAACACGTTTTCAAAAGTAATCTCTGTAACGCTTACTTTTCTTTAATGACGCCTCCAAGAAGTCCACCTTAGCCATTGCTCCCGGAAGGAATTCAAATTCAAATGAAACTGCAAGCAGTGTATTTCCAGAAGGTGCATCATTCGATTTTTCCTTCACATAGTTTACAAATTGTACAGTCAGTGTGATCACTTCTTTGATGCCACTTAAACGATAACTGATGATAAAGTATCAATACACAGTAACCTTCAATAACCTCAATGCTTGACTCACTTCCTTCGTCAACGAATTATATCTGTTGACAGTATTAGCCGCACATTGTTTTCACTTACTGTAAGTTACTTCTTCATTGGTGTAGAGAGGAGTATATGATGAATCCATCTTACTCTTACAGGGGCTAAAAAACATGTATTACATAAACATGAACTTATGTGGGAACACTGTCAACTAGTTACCCTTCATATATTCATTGTTGTGGATAATTTGCAAAAACTACTTGCTGTATATCTCCCGGATTTCTAACCACAGTTTTACGTTTCGACTAGCATAAATCTTGAAGTTTATTGGGTGAAAAAAATCATAACTGACTCTTCTTCGCTATTTCCATATATGACTAGGAATATATCTGCCCAAAAACATATAAGGAAAAGTTCTAGAAGGTAAAGAATCCTTTTTATCTAATTAGTGTTCTCTTAAAAATCTATTTCAAAGATTATACTGCACGTTTAATGATGAATGACCGCACAATTTTGAATATGCAGTAAAATAATATTCTAATTGATAGTCATATGCTGTCAGTCTGAAGGAAGCTGTGAAAATACAAATTGTAGTTAAAAGTCATAAATTTCATTCACACCAAGAAATAAATCTCATCGAATAAGTAATAATAATTAGTAGTAGTAATATTGCTTTGATGCTAAAAGCTATCTACTAAGTGGCAGTTTGAGGAGGCTAGCTACTATTTGAAGATCCACTAACTATTAGTGTTGAAGTAATATCCGGGATATAAACTGTACCACTCTCCAATATTCTGGGATGAGTACGTAAGATATAACTGTAATATATCATTGTTGAATTAGAAACTATCGTTCACCTTAAGGATGCTGATTTAAGATTTTGACAATGACTAGTTGTTTTCACATAGTTCCGAGCTGAAAACTTATAAAACTTCAGATGATTAATTTTGAAAGAAGTTATCTACTTAGCAATGCATTGAAGGAAACAGATGACGTGGAATCACCTCGTAAGGTGTGAACAATATTGTGCAGTATAAGAAATGTTTTGACTGTAACCATGCACTTGACAGACCAGGGAACATGTACGTCTTATACGTTTTTGCAGAAAAGATAGAAGCTGCTTTGTATTTTATCAGTAGTTAAAGAAGTACCGTGAGTAGCGTAAGTTAAGAGGATTGAAAAGGTAAAAACACAGGAAAACGACTGGAAATGCTGTGACTTTAAACTAGACTGTTGCGCAATGTGTTCCCACTGAAGGGAATAAGAACACTATTTGATTCCTAATGTTGACAGCCCAGATTTCCATGATTTTTCATAAAGTATTGTCACTGTTTTCATTCTTGTCTATTAACTGGAGTTGTAATTTTTGCATTCCCATTCAATGAGTTAGCATATTAATGGAGAAATATCATCCTAATAAATCTTGAAAACTAATATAAATCCTGATCACCAATACTGAAGCTGAGACTTAAAGGCATGGCGATCATATGAGAACCAGCTAAGTCACATGACAAGAGTATTTAGGACAAACAAAGTGACCTACATAAAACACTTTTTCAAATTTCAGACAGAGAAATACTAATTGGAGTCGTTCAGAATGTTAAAGGGACAACAGTACAATGTACCACTCAAGGGAGATACTTCCCCAGTGCTAACAAATCAAATAGGAAGGAACAAACCACTACAACTCCGAAGACACAGTAAGACTAGTCGGAAGTCAGTAACAACGTTGAATGAAGAGAGCACACAAAACATATGAGAAAAGACGCATTATTTCCGATAAATATTGTTTATATATATGTTAAACGGCAAGCTTTATATCAGTGTAATCGACAAAAGTCTTAAGAGCATATAGAAGTACTGTCTAATAGCAGAAAGAGAATCATGAAGGGTAAATATTACACTAATTTTCATCGCTATCATGACAACATACGTTACCTCTGGGATAGTGAAAAGTAAAAGTTATTCAAAACCATAAGAAAAATGTTTAGTCTATCAAGACAAAGTTTCATTCCATTTTGTTCACAAAAGAAATATATTATTTTGTTCACATTCACGATGAACGTGTTCTGGCCATATACTGACTTGTACTTCACCGATATGCTTCTTCTCCAGCAGAAACATGCACAATCGACTCTGTCCTATTCCACCTCCTATGGTCAGTGGATATTCACCATTCAGAACCTTTTGATGATATTCGAACTGCCGGCGTGATTCACAACCACTTTGTTTCAACTGGCTATCCATTGACACCTCATCCACCCGAATGCCCATTGATGACAATTCTATACACCTGTCATCATGTTGACTATACACCAATATATCTCCATTCAGCTCCCAGTCATCATAGTCTGGTGCTCGTTTGTCATGCACTGTATTGGACCTTAGTGTCTTTCCTATCTGCTTCAGGAAGACGGCACCATATTGTTTTACTGCAAGGTATTCTCGTTCTCCGGGTGTTTTATCTGGATAGAGATCCTCCAGCTCCTGTGTCTTCATGAATGTAAGCTTTTCAGGCAACTTCCGATTCAACACAGGGTATACTTCTACCAACTTCTTCTCTGTTTGCTTGATAGCATCGTATATCTTCTGAACTATTTCCTCTAATTTCTTTTCATTTCTTTCATCTCTTTGGATAATAAGTTCCCAGTCCCACTGGTCCACATAGTATGAGTGTAATGGAGAGACAACTTCATCACGCCTAACAGCATTCATATCTGTATAAATCCCTTTATAGTGATTCAGTTTGTACTTGTGCAGTGCCATACGTTTCCATTTGGCTAACGACTGATTAATGAATGCTTTCTCACCGGAGTGAACATCAAAACTGATAGCACGTTCAACACCAGACAAATCATCTTGCAGCCCACTGTTAACCGGTACAAACAATGGAGCGGATACACGAAGTAAATTCAAGTTTGTTGAAATATGTTTCTGGAAACAATGTCTCAAATATTTGATTGCTTCTTGCGTCTTCTCAACATCCAGTTTCGACTCATACTTCGACATTTCAATAACTCCTACAAAATTGTCACGAAACGATCAACTGCAACCAAAACAAAAACAGTGAAGGTCAGTTAAAACAATCAGTAAGTAGATGGGTGGATAAACACAGAAACAAACAAAATATCATTGGAAATCTTGACAAGGTGATGACCAACACAATTCATTGAGATATGGACAGACAATTTTCACAGTGTATAACATAACGAAATGGTTCAAGTCTTGTTAGACATTGACTTACTTGATAATTCTACTCGGAAATCACCTAACGAACGACAAGTTGGAATTAGCTGGTCTAGTCGAATTCAAACGATTTTATGGTCATGGTCTTGTGTCACTTACCTTTTTATGCGTAATCATTTGTGAATTTGGTTGCATGTTATGATCGAATTTCATCATCTCACTTTTGATTGGTCGGACTGGCTTAGTCGGATAGACATGCATTATTTAGTGTGTTACTCTGTCTAACATTTCGACAAAACAATAAGACGTAAATTGTCTGAACTGTGTAATGCATTTGAGCAACACTTCTCGAACTATCTGATCACATACGCACTTGTCATAGGTATTCATATAAAAACTCATGAAGATAAGGGGTGAGAAAATAAAAAGAGGTCAGGTAGAAAGGCTGAATAAAGGCCGGATAACAATGAAAATCAACTGAGCAAAAAATAATAGTAGTACATCGGACTTGGTTTTCAATAGTTGGATTTACCAAGGAAGATTTCATGTGACAACAAATTGTTTATGAACGCACAAAGGTGGTTTCAACTAAGGTAAATAGGTATAAAGGAAGTAGCCATATCAATCCTGTGGCCTATCTCAACGATGTTTGGCGATCGAAGAACTTAGACGTCTGCTACCAACATTTATGGGTTCAGGTGATTTAATTTGCTTCTGAAGCCACTTTGGAATATGTTTAGAAGCAAATATATAGGTCCGGTTTTCTTGCGTTGATCCCTATGGCTTCGGTTATGGATAAGATGCGTAGTCGTGCACCTTTAGGGAGATTGCAAGCGACACGTCTTCTTATTGTTTTGTCGAAGTTTATAAAGGGAACTAATTGTTTTACATTTTCCGAATGAATTGCAGCAATGAACTTGAAATGAGCCGTTGTTTCGTTCGCAAATATTTTGACAATCAGTAAATGCAATTTCATTGTATACGGGTTAAGGGCTTAACAATAAACAAACCAAATAACTATATATTACATTTGTTTAGTTGATATACCACACACAGTGATTTAGTAATATTTACTTCATGACGGCGTTTTAAGCATAAACTGTTTCTCATAATCATATCAATGTAATCACACTACTTGTGACATCTGATTTTATATTCATGTCACTTCATATAACTTATTTTTATTGGTAGTAAAATTTTCATGTCTCTGGCGTAATTCAAACCTCGTAGCTCAGTTGATAAATTATCGGTTCGGTAGCCCTGTGGTCTCTGGTTCGAATTCTGTAGCGGTCCAAATTTTCATTTCAACTTTCAATCATTACCCAGTATCTAGTAGAAGTATTGCATTATTCCTATTTCATGTATTGGGTGTTGATTCGATGATATACGGGTAAGACTTGAGCTTTGTGAGAGAATCTAATTCCATTTTACTTGACTTACTAGAAGTATCATACAGTGGAAGAGTATTGTTTGCTGGATTACTTTTCGGACATAATTTATTGTCCATAGTCATATCAAGGCCTAATTTAATGGACTCCTCCACCAAGTTTCCTTCTAGATAAATTGTCTTATTGGGTCTGTCAACCTATAATCAGCTGAATTTCTGTTCCGCTAATCTAACTGACAAACACTAACTCTGCTATCGGATTGCATGCATTAACACACAAACACAATAGTATGGTATAAAACCAGTGTACAGTCCAATATAATTAGGTAAGTAGGTAGGTAGAGATAGATTGATTACAGAATCTTTGTTCATCTGATCAACATCCAAAACATGTAACATAAATGAAGTAACATATCTACAGAGACATGGAAATTTGACTACCAATAAAAATAAGTTATATGAGGTGACATGAATATAAAATCAGATGTCACAAGTAGTGTGATTACACTGATATGATTATGAACAACAGTTCAATCTCGAAACCTCGTCATCAAGTAAATAATACTGAATCACTGTATGTGTATATCAAATAAGCAAATCTAGTATGAAATTCGATCATAACATGTAATCAAATTCACAAATGATTACGCATAAAAAGGTAAGTGACACAAGACCATGACCATAAAATCGTTTGAATTCGACTAGACCAGCTAATTCCAACTTGTCGTTCGTTAGGTGATTTCCGAGTAGAATTATCAAGTAAGTCAATGTCTAACAAGACTTGAACCGTTTCGTTATGTTATGCACTGTGAAAATTGTCTGTCCATATCTCAATGAATTGTGTTGGCCATCACCTTGTCAATCAGCAATGTGTTTTTCAGAGACGGTAACCATTCAGTTTTTCATTTCTCATCAATCTTAAGTCATATGCTTACGAAACACAATAACTGATATTTAGGTGATGGTAAATGTTTGTCTCATGATATGTGCAGTTCTTCTTTGGTTTGGATTGGTGGGATAGTTATTGTGTCAACAAAATGTTCCTCACCTTTAAAATGTTTAAAGGCTTGTATTTCTTTATCATGTCATTTGACCACTGTTGCATTCGTTGGTTATTCTACTTGATTTACTGACTCCGACTGGTTTGGATGAAAGCAGTCTCAACTTGCCATCAACCTATACACAATACTACGTTGTCTGAAGTGTAAGTAGCTACTTGGATACCTCTTATAGTGAGACAGGATAATTCAGGTTTTAATCTCACAGAGAACTTGAGTTTGGTCGAAAAAGGTTTTCTCTCCGCTGCTTCGCATAATATCCCACCTGTATGAACACAGTAGACCGACTGCAGTTTTGTTATATGAGTAAATGGTAAACTGGAACCAATACTACATGCAGTTCATGACAAACGGTGGTCAGGAGCGTTTTAAATTCTCAGATGCCTCTGATTAAAATCTTGCTGCAACCTAGTTCTTTTCATCCACAATCATTCTTCTTGTCATCTGACCAAGACCATTTCAGATAGCCTAACTGATGTAAGTACTTATGTCTTATTAATGTAAGGAAAAACTTGGGCACTGTGGAAGAATATAATTACATATTAGATTGTTTATTTGATATAGTACAGTGACGCAGTATAATCCACTGCATGACGTTTGAGCAAATTTATTGCTTATACTCATGTCAAAGTGATCACACTTCCTTTGTATGGTCCAAAAGTTCATTCACTTATTTTAATGGTAGTCAAAATTTCCATAAAAATGCAATATTTGATGAGTCATTCCTATTAAATGTCTAAGGTGAGGATTCAATGAACAAAGATTCTGTGATCATTTGGGTCAGTCAAAAAAACATCCAGTGCAGCGAAACATTTTGTCCACTGCTCAACCAAACCATTACTGACACAGCGAACCAAGGATAGGTTACCTATGATGGCCACGACAATGTGCATTTATGAGTTCAGCTGCTCGTTTGGAGCTAGTTACATACGGCGTACACATAGGGCTCTATCCATGCGCACTCGTGAACATATACCAGCTTGGTTAGGGAAAGGAATGACACAGAGCTTCAATGGTGCAGTCCTCTTACATATTTTGGGTATCGCATATCAGATCAAGGTAGATCATGCCTTTTCTGTGACATACCGTGTCGCTTGCAATCTCCCTAAAGGTGCACGACTACGCATCTTATCCATAACCGAAGCCATAGGGATCAACGCAAGAAAACCGGACCTATGTATTCAAAAGAAATATGTACATCCACTTTGTGCACCTTGACCCAAAATGGGGTCGACACATTTTTGTGAATTTTCCGACGATAAACTGCACATTGTAACCTCGCACCCCACTCTTCTATATTGTCATTACATTGATGAACATTCATTTTGTTATTAGTTTTATCCCCTTCTTTATTCATACCACTACTGGTAGTCATTTTCAGCCGTGACCTAAACTTTCACCATTCTTATTCTCGAATTAGTTATAGTATTTACATGATTTTCACCCCGCTTGAATATAGTTCATCCCCACATAATTATTAATTAGCCCTTAGTAAACAAACACACACGCATACACACGTATTCATGACCCAATAAATGTATGTAAATGAGTCGTTATCTATACCAGGTGATGATTTAAGGTGAAATAAAAATTTGGACCACGGCCGGATTCAAATTTTCATTTCACCTTCAATTACCACCCAGGATGAATACTAGTCTGCCAAACTACGGCTATCTCAGATAGAATCATTATCTATATATTTTGTCTCCTCACTCTGTAATCGTTCTGTCAATAGTCATTTCATTGCACAACTAACACACTAGACTGATAACAATTCCATTATTTCATTCGATGTGATCGCCCATAACACTAACTGTTTCAATACAGTTGTTTAATGAGGCTGATAAAGGTTTGCGGTATTCCGTAGTGTTGAAGCAGTTGCCAAATTACTTCTCGGTCGACGCTGTCGAAACAAGGCCTCTTCAAAATCGATGAAGTTGAGGTAGAGAGTAGATTATCATTCTATGCTCTCTTCTATGATGATGCGAAGCGCTGCAATTTGGTCCACACATGATTTGTACTTCCTGAAGCCTGCCTGTGCCGGTCAGGGTTTTGAATCCAAAGCATTTTTCAGTATCTCCAGGATGATGCGGCTTAATATTTTGCTTGCTTTGGGTGGACAGTGGTATAGCATGATTCTGCGCCAGTTCTTGCAAGGATTTAGGTCTCACTTCTTTGGGAGTTTGACAAGTTAGCCCTTCTTCCAATCAATCGGCAGGTACCTCTCCTTCCTTCCTTCCTTGCAAACCTTCTGCAATAGTGGTGTGAGCATGCCCACCACTGATTTCTCTGAGCCTATTTTCGGTGCTTCTGGCGGGACTCTATCTGGTCCTGCTGCTTTCCCGCATTTCAGTAGCCTTATGGCGTTCAGGACTTCGGCTTTCGGCGGAGGACTTGTGTTCACTGATAGTTCTGTGACTCGGCTGAAGGTGGTATTTCTGGACGAAGTGCAGGTGGTGATCGATTCAAGAGCTTTTAAAGTGGTCAGCCCATCGTTCCCTTTGTTTCTCTTCTTTGGTAATTAGATTTCCTTCATCATCTTTTATTGGTTTCATCTGTGTTGATGTCTTCCCAGATAATAACCTGGTTATTTGATACAATGTTGTCAGGTATCTGTCTCTCCTACCTGCAGCCTGTTCTGCTTCACTTGCCAGTGTGTCGTGGAAGTGTCTTTTATCTTTGCGCGCACTCTTCTTCACTTCTTTGTCC